AAGCCCTACCATGTGTTTAAAAAAGTTACCATGTTAATAAAAGTATGCATTTGCTTGAAAAGACAAAAGACCTTCTTTTAGAGTGAAATCTTCCTCCTTGTCCTCGTCGCCAACTGGAAAACGAATTGCATGTGGTTTTGGATGCTCGCAGTAACCTCTAACCAGGGAAGCTTTATCTGCATGCCCGCTGGGAGTGAGGGGAAGGGCACCTCATGCTGTGGTCCAGGCTCCTGCCTTCAGAAGCCAGAGTACGTTCACTGTAGTCCTTGCAATGGGGGACCACCCCTTCAGAAGGGAAGGACATATTGGAAGTACTGCTGCCGGTGGCCCCCAGCTGGTCCCCTCTGAAAAAACGTCTCAGCTTAAGAGCTGCTTTAGCCCAGGTCACACCCCCTTTCACAGGTGCCCATCTCCAGGGCTAAGTGGGCTGGGGTCCAAGGCCATTCCCCTCACTGCTACTTGGGGCAACTTTGAAGGGCATCTCAGCTTCAGAGCTCCCTGTGGGTCCGCTGAGGCATTTGTTAGGACCTCATGACAGCCCGCTTCTCCCTTCCCCAGGCGTTAATCCCTACAAGCTTTTCCTGTGCTCTAACCATCAGAGTGCCTCCTCGGGGACTGGGGATGAATGTAACAATAGAAACTCACCATCTAGATGCTGTGTTTTAGAGGACTGGGGGAGAGCCGGGGGAGAGCCGAGGAGCATTCAGAGCAAGTGAAGGGTGACCCTGGCCTTAAAGAATGAGTATAAGAGGAGAGAAGGACATCCAGGCACGGGGAACAGGAAGAAAACGCCAGAGGTTGGGAATTTTCTGAGCACATTCTGATGGTGGGAGACGTGGGGAGGACGGAATTATGAACCAGGAAACCACCACCACCCAAGCTGCATTTGGTACGTTTGTTAACACGAGGATTCATCTTGGTACATAAACTACAGGCTATTCTGATTCACCAGTTTTCCACCAAAGCCCTTTTTCCGTTTTAGGGTACCACATTGCATTTGGTAATTGATTTTTAAAATAGGTACTACAGCCCTGGCCGGATTTTGCTCAGTGGATAGAATGTCAGCCTGTGGACTGAAGGGTCCTGGGTTTGATTTTCGTCAAGGGCACATGCCTGGGTCGCAGGCTTGATCCCCGGTAGGGGGCATGCAGGAGGCAGCCAATCCATGATTCATTGATGTTCCTCTCCCTCTCTGAAATCAATAAAAATATATTTAAAAAATAATAAAATAGGTACTACAAATGGCACACAGTTCAAAAGATGCAAAAGTGGCTTTCACTCCCCAGTTTCCCAGTTTCTCTCTGAGAAGACAACCATTTTCCAGTGTCTTGTATATCCTTTCAAATACGGGTGAGCATAAAACTCACCCAAACTTTTTTTTTTTTACCTACATGGTAACACATACAACCTGTGAATGTCCTTAGAGTGTTGCTTTTGTCCACCTAAACCATAGGTCAGCGGTTCTCAACCTGTGGAACACAACCCCTTTGGGAGTCGAACAACCCTTTCACAGGGGTCGCCTAAGACCTTCGGAAAACACACATATAATTCCATATTGTTTTTGTGATTAATTACTATGCTTTAATTATGTTCAATTTGTAACAATGAAATTGGGGGTCCCCACAACATGAGGAACTGTATGAAAGGGTCAGGCATTAGGAAGGTTGAGAGCCACTGCTCTAGGTCTACCTTTTTAAAACGGCTGCACGTGCTCATTGTACTATAAGGATAAGAACCAGAGGTGATTCTTGCACCAGTTTGAGAACCATTGTTCTACATCCTTCTCAGTAACTCCTTAGTTCCTCTTCCTTGTGAGTTTAGTCACAACTGAAAAGCAGCTGCCATTCAGGTTTCCCCGGCTCCTTAAGTCCGTCGTGGCTTGTCAGTCATTGGAGGATTATTGATTCTTGCATTTTCTAAGCAAAAAACCTGACGAACCATTCTGAGAGGCTAAATTGAGACTAGGGTTGCCGGAAGTTTTTCATGGCAGATCCATATGTCCCCCGTGAGCTCCAAGTCCTCCGGCCCTTTCCTGGGAGCCCTGCGGAGTTCAGACCACTGATGGCTGTGCAGAAGGGCTGTTGGGGATTCTGGGACAGGTCCCTGAGGCGAGGACCTAACTGCTCGGACAAGTGTCCTTTTATATCAGAGTACTGTTACAGAAAGAACCCTAGAGCCGTGGGAGCATGGAGGACTATGTAACGAGCTCTGATGAGGAGGAGGCAGAGTATGCAGGATGTTTACGTTCCCCTGGTCCCCCACGTGGCCAGGATCGGGCTGGGAGACGGTCCCCAAAGTCGTACCACAGAGGCTTCTGCATCCGGATGTTTCAGCAGAGGTGATCCCTGGGAAGAAAAATTTGAATCTCGTGGACATTATGGGAGGACTGGCGACAGCCAAGGACACAGTGAAGACTTGGTGGAGGAGGGGGTGTTAACAAAGGCCTGACTCCAGGACAGCCTGCAGAGTTCCTCACCTTCCCAAGGAGAAACCTCAGGATCCAGGCTGCTGGGACACGGGCTGGGAGGCCTGGCTCCGGCACCTGCTACCTGCTCTCTGTGGCCTTGAGCAGGCGCTGGCTTGTGTCAGGTTCTTCCCAGCATGACATGCTGTATGATTTCTCCAACTAAAGCTCATCTGGAGTAAACTGTTCTGGGGGCAATTAATGCTGTTCCAATTCTCCACCTCCCAGGCACAGGGGCGGGGTGCACTCGCTAGCCCCCAGGTGGTGGTGTGTGACTAATTCTGGTCAATGAATTATAAAAGAAAGTCACACCCAAGCCAGAACCTCCCATGAGAGACCCTCCAGAGCTCTCTTCCCTCTGGCACAGGGACCGGCAACATGCAAGATGGGTGGTTGATCATCAGCTTCGTTCCTTTGATGAGAGTAGCTCCCTGCCCACCTATGATGAACACACAGCACAAACGAGGAACAACCTTCGCGGTTTTCCCCAGGCAGTGGATCAGCAGGCGTGGAGTTCCATCCTCTTCCTGAGATGAATGGAAATCTGGCGAGGGCTTGCTTCATTCAGTTGCTGCCCAAAGTAAGACCCTCTCCCTGGCCAGTTCTATTTCCCCCTCTTCTGATCCCGATGATGTTCTTTTTTTTTTTTTTTCTTCCCCAGTGTGGGGTGTGCTGGAGGCAGCCAATCAATGATTCTCATCATTGATGTTTCTACCTCTCTCTCCCTCTCCCTTCCTCTCTGAAATCAATAAAAATATATTGTAAAATAAATAAAATTACAAAGGAGAAAGGCATACCAGAAATAGAGAACTTTGGGTTTTTATTTTTTATATGAAAATACTATGTGTAGTTAACAATATGCTAAAACATTTTTTTTTCTGGAAAAACATATATCACCCAAATTGAATCAGGCAGAAGTAAAAAACAAACAAACAACTAAGTGGATCTAACCCAGAGAAGAAATAAAAAAAGGCTCAGCCCTAGAGATTATATGGGCAAACTCTTAAAAATTTTGAAGGACATATAATTCCCTTTCTGAATGCATAAAGATATTAAAATTTATTTCACTTTATGAAGCAAATATTTATTGTAAAATCTATCAAAATGGTACCAAAATAACACTCAAAAAACATCAACCCACATAAGAAAATCAATGCCAGAATTCCCCATAAAATTATCAGTAAGTTAAATTCAATTAACATGATTAGGTAGATTTTATCCTAGAAATGCCAGAATATTTTTAATACTAAAATAATTGAAATAATTTTGCTCATAAAAGAAAAAAATGCCATCTCAATAAATGACAAAAATCTAATACCGCCCTCTGATTAAAACAACTAAGTTTACAAAATCACGTAGTAAATATTAAAGTCAATATCCAACATCATATATTTTAGTGTGCCGCGCCAGCACAGCCAAGGGTGATCCTGAGTGGGGGTGATGAAAGGATTAAGAAAAGAGACAAGAGAATGAAAGCTGGGTCTCGGTGGGACGCTGCTCCCTGAGGAGGAGACAGCGCCCTCCCCATGATGGTCTGTAGTTCCTTTCTTCTGATTTATATCCTTCAAACTTTCTATTCCATGACTCACAAAAGCCTCCGTTCTGTTATTCCCAAACTCATTCATACTATTTTTTTTAAATCTTCTGTTTGTTATGTTTTCTCCTTTTTATTGAATTTATCGGGGTGACACTGGTTAACAAAATTACACAGATTTCAGGTGCACAATTCTACAGCACATCATCCGTACACTGTATTGTGTGTTCACCACACCACCAAGTCTCCTTCCCTCCCCATTCGCCTCCCATACCCTCCCCCTCTCACCTGCCTCCAGCACACTCCCACTTCCCTCATCAATCACCATGCTGTTGTCCATGATTTCTTCTCGTTTTTTGCTCAATCCCTCCACCCTCATCCCCCACCCCCCTCAACCCCACCCGTCAGCTTCAGCCTGCTCTCTATCTATGAGTCTGTCTCTATTTTGCTTGTTAGTTCAGTTTGTTCATTAGATTCCACACATGAGTGAGATCATACAGGACTTGTCTTTCTCTGACTGGCTTATTTCACTCAGCACAGTGCTCTCCAGGCTCATCCATGCTGTCACAAAGGGTAAGATTTCCTTCTGTTTTATAGCCGAGTCGTATTCCATTGTGTAAATGCACCACCACTTTTTTATCTGCTTCCAAATCTTG